AGCGCATAGTGCATCCCAAAATAGTTCTCCCTTTCAAAAGTATTGAAATTAACTTCAAAGGCCATTAAAGGAATCTTGCGCGGAAAAATCATGATTCTATTTCAGCCATAAATCACTGGCTTGAGACTCATTATCCACGATAATAGTGAAAAGAACTGAAGTATTGCTTTCGTTTTGATTAGAAATTCGAAAACTCGAAAAGGCTGCTACGCGTTCGAATTGCCCACGGACGTCTTTCACGAATGCTGGCGACGGGGATGCTCAAACTTGGTTCTTGGAGTGCATTCACTAGAAGCTCTTTCTGGCCTTCTGCTTCGTTGCATTCACATCTTACACTTCTACCCTCCATCATTCCATCGATCGATTTGTCTCCACTCTCCGAAATCGCGCGCTTCAACCCGATTCTCTCATTATTGCGTCGCCTGGTACGTAGCCGGCCAAACGCCGTCTTCTTTCCATGCCTCGCCTGGCTCTGCCTCCTGGTCCTTCGATGGTCCATAACGTGTAGTTTTTGTACGTTTGTTTCTCTTCAGAAACCGAATCTTCATGCGTGAAACTTTGTGTGCTATTTCCAGTGATCACAACTGACATATTCATGTTAGGAAAGAGTGCAAGAATTTTCCGCGCAAGATTCCTTTAAAAACATCCCCAGCAGGATATCTGTGTGGGAGAACTTATAAGTAGATGGGATAGAGTCAGATCAGAGTAGCACAGTGTAACGTTGTAGCCGGCTAAAAAATGCGCCGTCATGGCTTCATTAGAGGTATTACGAGGCAGCTTTTGGCGATGATTCAGCATTTGACAAATGAGTAACGTCATGTATGACAGTAGCGTGGATTACGGCGCAGCGAGTAGTCCAGATAGGCGCGGGTTAGTTGAGCCGTGGAGTAGGCAGGGTCAAACAACTCCGCCGGCCCCGCCCCTTTTTACTTCAGGTCCTCCATCGACGTTTCCTTTTTCTTTTTTTTCCGCGTCCACAACTTCACTACCAACCGCTGTAGCTCAGATTCGATCTGGGTGGGGGGGGGGAACTTTAAAGACTCGACAAGCTGAGTTGAAGTCATGACTCTGAAAAAATAGACTCTGAAAAGTCCCTTTCTAAATTGAGGCTACACCACGGTCATAAGAGATTCTCATACCCCAGAAATTCGAAGCAATTATTTTCGTGAAGTAGTGGAGAACTGTGAGCTGCACGCTTACCATAATCTTCTTTAAAGCTCGAAAAGCTAATCTTGTAGATTTTTCGAAGGAGAGCGTGTATGCCAAAAACGCGGATGGATGTTTCATATCTTGTAGTCAATGAAATCATATGAAGCAGCTAGTGTTGTGATCCCAGGATTGAAACCACTTAAACAAAGGGGCAAAATTCGGGAGTTTCAAACTTGAGAAGTTACAAACGGGAAAGACTTCGCATAGGTCATACCCGATTCGAGAAAATTTTGAGAAGAGATAAATTGGACATCAGAATTTTTGATGCTTTCATTCCGTAGTCGTAGGAGGATTTCGCGAGCAAAGAATGAAGGTCAGAGAAGGGAAATGAAACTAGTAGGATTGAGGGAACACGGACCTCTGGGATTGAGTGCGACTGCGAGCATTGCATGGAAAATTTGACTCTGCGACAGTATTATGGCTGAAAATATCCGCCAAAATTAACAAATAAGTATGCGAAAAAACGAGAAAGGAACCTGAATATAGAAGAAAACATCCAACGGATGCTGTGCAAAGGGGTGAAAACGAGCACACGGCGCATACGGGGGCAAATGTTGAACAGTTTCTTCGGGTCTATTCCGGTAAGAGGGGGCATTGCGGTGCACAGTCTGCTCTAATGCCAGTTTGGCTCAAGGAGTCCTTTAAAGTTACGAGCTGCTATCAGCTTTTTTCCTACGTTGTTTCTTCTAGGTTTTTGTATAATGCGTGTATTCATTGAACAGCTATTGAGAATAATATTCACCCAATGAGCAGCTAGGACTAAGCCTAGGAAGGGGAGGAAATCTCATGGGAGAAGGAAGATTGCTCACAACCCCAGTGTTTTCCCTCCCTTCTTAGGCTTAATCCTACGCGTTTACAGACCATGCTTTCCGTGGTTTGAACATGTCGAGCACGAACTGCATGCCCCCCCTCCTTACTGGGATACACCTCTTTTTCCTATAGACGGATCAGCTGGCATGAGTAGGATTCTGTATGCACAGTATGCATTAAATTACTTAAATTCGAGCGCGTAGCGCATCCCAAAATAGTTTTTTTTTAAACTGTTGCATTGAACTTCAAGGTGCCAACTATGCAACGGCACAAGTCGCGTCGAAGAATCTATTCAGTGGTTGGGATAGAGTAGCCCACGAGTAGCACAGATGTGCCGTTGTCGCGGCTCGAAAGTGCGCGACAATGGCGCTAGGGTCTTACAAAGTCAGCATTTGGCGACTAATCTTAGCATTTGGACGAGTTACGTCGCGCACACCCATGACACGCAACGTGGATTACGGCGTAGCGGCTAATTCAAATACGCGCGGGTTAGTTGAGCCGTGGAGCAGGCAAGTTCGTACAACTCGTCTGGCCCCGCCCCTTTCTTATTCAATGTGAATCCCTCTTTAGGGCTTCATTGACGGTTTTCTTTGCTTCTTTTTTTTCATTTTTTCCGCATCCACAGCTTCGTTATCAACCGCTGTGACCCAAACTCGATCTGGGTGTGTTGCTTTAGGGACTCGACAAACTGAGTTTATTCCTTTAGAAGTTGAAAGATCCCACTCTAATTTAAGAGTACACGGCGGCCATATGAAATGCTTATACACTAGAAATTCAGTGTAGAAATTTGTATCAAGTTAATGGAGATTTATGGTCTGCAATCCTACCATAACCCTATCCTAACTCGAACCCTTTTCGACAAGGCGTCTAAGCCATAATACCACCGACGGCATGTTTCAAATAATAGTCATCGAGAGTTACTGTTATTATCCGCAGGATGTAATCTACTCAACAACATGGCAAGATGGTAGGAAAATTGAGAGGCAATAAATGGGCAAGACTGTTCACGTCCTTACAGAATTTCAAGTGATTTTAAAGAGATTTAGGAAAATCTAGAAAAATTCTTTTGATTCCTCTCCTTAATTACTCGTTAAGAGAGAAGCTGTTTCCGAGGAACAAAACCTGATCCCTTTTATGACTTTTATGAAACCATTCCTACCTTGACAGCTTCAGGCATTTTTTCAAATTCTGCGAGCTCTCTGATCATACTCATAAAAATTGGCGCATCTGCTGGAGTAGCACGATTCACTCGCACCGCCATTACCTAAATGTGAGCAGCATAAAGTGAAAAAAGATAAAGGTTTCATTGACAACAAGCCCATTTCTGGTATGAGCCACACATTCTTCATGTTTCCCTTTAGAATTGTAACAGCACCTT